GCCCTGCGTGCTCGCACAGACCGACGTGTACTGTCTCCTCAACGCCGACCTCTTTGTCGTGGTGCGACCCGACGCGCGCGACCGGACGTTAGGGCTTGTGACACACTTGCAGCCACTGCACGCGGTCTCGATCCAAGAGGATGCGATGCATCTGCACATACGTGGCGGCGACGACAGCATTTGCCTCGAATTTCCGATGCCCGAGATGCGCGAGCAAATGGCCGCGCATTTGCACGCGATGCAAGCGCAGCAAGTGGCAAGGAAGACCGCGGCCATCCAGACGCTGTTAACGGCGCATGTCGTCGTCGTCTAGGCCTTGCTGTCTGTATAGTTATAGGATGCGATAGCACCATCAAAAGCTCACCACGCGGTTGCCTGTCTATGCTAGATGACGTGTCTACGACACGGTTGATGGCGAGTGCTACGCTAGTCGAATGGCCCCGCATCGGTCGTCGTCGCATTATGCCTCGGTGGCTACAGGATCGCGTCGGTCGCCAAGCTCAGTCAAGCAGTAGTAGTAGTAGTAGTTTGTTAGCAAGGGTGGTCGTGCATACAAGCATAACGTTCGTGGAAGGGCCACAGGCGGAATCGAACTCGGTGCTTCTGCTATCGCAGCTGGTGAAGAAGCCAGCGCCTTCGCCACCCCGCGAACGCAGCACGCATCGTTCTGGGCGTAATGACCGTCACGTTGAACTTGATGTGTGATAACCCATCATCGCCCTGGCTCAATTGACCGAGATCAGAGCCTGCTTGCGTCGACACGACGACGACTACGTAAGCGGGCGGAGCCTGTTTCTGGACGCAGTGTGTCTCGGTGCAAATTGGCTGCTTGTAGGTCGCTGCATGGTCACGCTGCGTGAACGGCGCGCTCGAGTTACCGTGACGCAACGCCGTGAGCCCGACCTCTGGATGGCGTAATCGCCTTCGCATACCGTCTCGCCGTGTGGCGCTGCCACGTTTCCGCAACCGTAGGCTTTTTCGAGTCTTTTTATTAAAAAGAGGTTTTTAATCTTTTAATCGACTATGTACACTAGGCCAATGTATACGAAACGGTCAATTGAGCGTCGCCTACGGTTGGAGCGCCTACGGTGTTGATATATGTCCTGCCAGAAAGGCCACGTCTGCGCTCGGTAAGTCAACTTGTCTGTCGCCCTGGGACGTGACACTGTCGTGACTGAAGTAAATGCGCCAAAGAGGCGGGTGGCGCATGTCGCGAAGGAATCATCTTGTTCTGTGCGACGTCTGATATATCAAGCGGTTCGCTCACTTGGGAATTTGCACCATGGAGGCCACGAGCAGTCATCTGTGCTTGTACCGCAACAAGGTCTGCCTCTTGCCTCGCGCCATCAAGAAGAACGGCCAGCTCCACAGCCTCTGCGAGTTCCACCGCGTCAAAGCGAATCTGAACCAGCGCCGCCTCGAGAAGAAGAAAAAGTCGACGAGCCGCTTGCCCGAGACCAACCGATCGGGCTGCAAAGAGCTCTGGGTCGACCCCGTCGCCTCGAGCGAAGACGACGATTACGACGATGAGAATGCCGACGACACGCAGAACGCCGACCACGTCATTTGGGCCGAGCCCATCAAGCTGCCCGTGCCCTAGTCCTAGTCCGGGTCTACCTTGAAATCTATTTAATAACCCGTCGTCCAAGATCGGCGTTCCTAGTATGTCGTGAACGGACTCTCGCTGCGTCGTTGGCTTCATGGAAACGCATCCACCCGGATTGAAGGTGTCTCTGGCTTCTGGTGGTCGATCCAGTCTCGATACCACTGGCTTGACGTAGCGGTGACAACGACCAGCGCGCCGGAGCTTGGTTCACAGAGTGGTATTGAGTAGTATCGTTAGTTGATTAGCTTCTTATACAGCGGGGTTGCGGTGCATGTAGGGGAGGTTGCTCGTGAGGTGTTTGTTGAGGAGCCGTGTCCCGCTCTCTTCGTCGTGCGTCACCACGTGCGGCTCCGGGATCGGGTCCAGCGACAGCTTCTGCTCGGCGCGCTTGGTGAGTGCGAGCACAGACTTGGTCGAGTGCACGGACCGGATCGACTTGCATTCCGAAAGCACCGTCTACATGCCGTTCAATACGGAGCCACGCAGATAGATATGCAGAGGCGACGCACCGACGCCACGCTCTTGGTGTCGTCGTCGTCGTCGTTGTCCTTGGCGTCACGCGCACTCAGCCGCGCGAGCGTCGCCGCGTTAAGGTACTGCCGCTCGAGGCTCTCCTGCTGGAGGCGCTCGCGGACTTGGCCCTTTTTCTCGTCAGCCTCCTCTTGGTTGACGAGCTCCTGGAGCTGCGCGAGCTGCTCGTCGACCTGCGCGACTTGGGCCTTGAGCTCGACGTCGCCAAGAAACGTGTCAATGTCGAGGTTGTTGGCGAACGCCAAGAGGTCGTCGACGCTGTCTTCGTCCTGCTGGTCGCGCTTGCTCTCGGCCTTGTCCTTGGTCAGCGCCCACGCCGGCCGCGAAGCCAAAACGCCCTTCTCTTCGTCGTCTACTGCGCTTTGAACCCTCGCCCGTTGGGTTTGGAGTGAGTACCTTGTGGTCGCTGGCGAATCTTGGCGCGCAGATCGGCCTCGCGCT